TTCTTGCTACTATTACTAAGCCTGGCGTCTTAAGTTATATCCTGTGACACACATGGTGGAAGAAGAGAACAGTCTCCCAAACGGTATCCAATGAACTCAATACCTGTACTGAGGTATGCAGAGACATATACATACATACATACACTAACATATAAGTAAATATTTCTTTCAAAAATAAAACACTGAGGGATGGAGAGATGGCTCAGCAATTAGAGCACTAACTGCTCTTACGGAGGACCAGGGTTCTATTCCAATACCCGAATGTTGGATTGCAAACACTTGTAACTCCAGTTCCAGGGGATTTGATGCCTCTTCTGACTTCTGTGGGCAGGCACACACACATACACACAAAACAAAATAAATAAATAGAGACGGATAGATAAAAAACAAAAGAAGCTAAAAAGAAAATCAATGGTCTACAGAGCTAGTTCCAGGACAGTCTCCAAAGCCACAAAGAAACCCTGTCTTGAAAAACCAACAACAAAAAAAGAAATCAAGTTAAATTATCCTAGCCTCCAGAAAGCATAATACTAAAAGAAAAACTTTAATAAGGATACAACTAATTGGAGGACTTATAAGCATTCAAAAAAAAAAAAAAAAAAGGAATTCATGAGTAAGAAACACGGAGCTCTTTTATTCATAAAATGAAAAGCATGATTCCCAAGACAGCAGTGCTAAACAAATAGTAACTCTGAAACTGCCACTGTGTGATGTGGATACATTACATTGACCTAGTCCTCTGAAATTAAAAAGCAAACAAACAAAAATACAAATTAACAATAAGAACAAAAGAGCCAAGCTGAGGTTGTATAAACCTTTAGACCCAGCACAGGAGGTAGAGGCAAGAGGATCTCTGAGTTCAATGCCAGCCTGGTCTACTCAGAGTTCCACGCCAGCCAAGACTGCAGAATGAGGCCTTGTCAAAACAAACAAACAACAACAACAAAATAAATAAATAAATAGATGATTTGTGAAAATAAACTTAATAGAGAAAAAAAGGACAAAATATGAAAACTAAACAGATGACTACTTCCTAATATTCTCCTTGATAAACACACACACACACAAAAAGGATTCTGTTTGAAGATCAAGATTTAGAGAATGGAGAGATTTAGGGAATGGAGGGTCAGCAGTTAAGAGCACCTGCTGTTCTTCCAGAGGACCCACGTTCAATTCCCAGCACCAATAAGGCAGCTCACAACTGTCTGTAACTCCAATTCCAGGGTAATCTAAGGTCATCTAACACCCTGCAACACATGCAAGCAAAACACCAATGCATATAATTTTTTTAGTATTTATAACAAAGACATATACTCCCTGTCTCCCCACCCCCAGTGCTGGGGTTACCTAACTTCTACATGAATACTCTGGATTTGAACAACAGGCTGCAGACTTGGGTAGCAAGCACTCTTACCCACAAAACTATCTTTTCCAACCCCAAGATTTCTTTTTGAACTCCACAAAATGTAAAGTTCATCCAAAGAATTCTCAGACCAGAATAATCAAAGTCCGGAGTAAACACAATAAGGAACTAGTGACTAACCCTACAAGTGCTAAAATTCATAAAGCAATAATAGCAATGCAAAGGAAACTGTAATATACACATCAAGAAAACAACTGAACAAATCAAAAAGTCTCAAACATATTTAGTGAGTAGAATTGATTTAGTAAATTATAATATTTGCAATTCTAACCAATATTGAGCAAAAGCAAACAGATCATTCAATAAATTGTGTTAGACCCTTAATTAACCTGTTAGCCCCAACTGCCCAAAGACCAGGCAACTTCCTGGGATTCTGGGGACTGTAGTTCTTGGAAAGTAACAACAAAGCCTCACAGGAAAGTATGGTGGCCTATGGGATTTTGTCCATACAAGTCCGGCCAACACATGTCTCTAGGCCACACAGCTAGAAAGTTTACAGATGGTGGTCATGACCAAATTCCATCTTGTTCAGTATTTTAAATTTTAATAAAAGCTTGCTTAAATTTTGCCGAAATGGTAGAATTGGCTTTTCTGGCAAATTTCAGGATTACCAATTGACTGCTTAGGGAGAAAAAAAAAACAAACAGGAAATTACATATATTCCTTCAAATGTATTTCTATTTCACTTCCTATTCCAGAAAAAAAAAATTTTAAATCAAAGACTTACAATTTAAAAAAAAAAGAAAAAGAAAAAGAAAGGGAAGTCAAGCTATGGTGGCCGGCCACCTTTAAGTCCCAGCACTCGGGAGGCAGAGGTAGATGGATCTCTGAGTTGAGGCCAGCCTGATCCACAGAACAAGTTCCAAGATAGCCAGGGCTATGCAGAGAAACTCTCTTGAAAAAGCAAAACTAGAAAGACAAAGAAATAGGAAACTATAAAAATATCTAATTAAAATGTGAGACTTCTGTCTTTTTTTTTTTAAGATTTTATTTGTTTATTATGTATACAGCTTTCTGCCTGCATGACCAGATCTCATTCGAGGTGGTTCTGAGCCACCATGTGGTTGCTGGGAATTTAACTCAGGACCTCTGGAAGAGCAGTCAGTGCTCTTGATCGCTGAGCCATACCTCCAGCCTGTCTTTTAAAGATACAAAATGGTATGCAATAGAATCTTCTCACTCAACTCTCCTTCCTTTAGGATGTTTTTGTTTGTTTTTGATATAGGGTCTCACACAGTCCATGATAACCTCAAGCTTAAGCCAACTCAAGTCTTGAATTCCTAATCTTCTGCCTCTGCCTCCGTAGAGCTGGGTTGTGGGCATGAGTCACCACTGCTTGGTAGTTTGCTATGGCAGAAGTGTAACTCTATGCATTTTTACACCTTCCTTCTCCTCTTGATGTGTGTACACTGACATTTGCTATAACCATACTTGTTTTAGGCCTTTACTATT